GCGCAAATCATCGTGTCTTCCGTTATTTTATTTACTTTATTTAAGTGTTCCCAGTTAGTAGAGGGTTTTACCTTTGGCTAGATACCATCATTTACTCTTAAATAAAGTGATTGATTGTTTAATCGATTGAATGATCGGAAAGCACCCTCACGAAGAATAATCTTGTTGCATCGAGAATACTCCAAGTAGCATTTGTTGCAAAGTGCAAAAAGCGAGCAAAAGGCCCAAAACATGGAGAATCCGACCACTCTTTTACTCTAACAAAAATTCACAACTGTAACTTTAAAAAAAAAAGGGCTTGGAGTGTAATATTTGATTATAAGTGACTTTGCCAGATGTAAAGTAAAACGCACAATTGCGGTTGTATCTTGCGTTACCGTTCCACGTACTCAATGCGAGGCTGCTTCTGCAGTAAAGAGTAGTAAAATTATTGACTTGTAATTTTTATTGCCAGACCAACTTGGATTCAGTTGTTTTTTAGTTGTAAAAGGATTGCTGTGCAATCTGGGTTCACTATCGCAAGAGTTCGGACTGTTAAAATTTCACCGGCCGAAAACGGGTAGTGTCCGAGCAAACGCATGTTTGACCGGACAACGTGACCGGCGACTGCCCGTTAGTTATTTGCAGCCTTGAGTATAGATATACTTTAGGAGCAGAGATTCCAACTGCTCCTTAGAGGAGTTTAATCTGTAGAATTAATACCTCTCACGTTGTACGGCTGTGTTTTAGAGGGAAAGGTCATAGATTCTCTTCCTGTCAAGATTATTTTGATTTTCTTTAAGTCAAGTTACTTTTGGCGTTGACTGAAAAACCTGTTAGATCACCAAGCATGAGATATGCCTCATTACATAGAAAATGAAACAAATCCGTTGTTCTGATTGGCTAGCTGAGTATGCAAGATGGCACGCAGCATTTTCCCTTTGATCTCGTGAGAAAGTAAAATGATGATGAAAAAAGCCTCGAGCAGGTTAAGATCCCTGACTTCAAGGAACATTTTTTTCTTGAAAGCAAGTTGGCACTATTCAAGTCACAATGAGGCCCTTAAACAATCAAGTTTCAATTATTTATTCAGCAATTCTTTGTTAAATTCTTTTCACATTTGAAAGTACTATATTGGCTAAGCTTATTTGGTCAACAACGCTTGACTTTGGGCACGTTCTTTTCCTTTATGGACCAAGGCGACGTCGAGGGCCAAGTAAGCCGAAATGTCTTTTTATATCGACCTCACGCTGTTGACTTACTTATCTTTATCTGCATCAAATTATTCCTTTTTCACGTTTTACTCAAGTTTTAAGTGGTGAACAAATGTTGAACTTTTATTAAACGAGTTCGCTTTTTCATTAGTATATTTGGACATAAAACATAATTTTAGGTTTCAGCAATTTCGCTCACATTCAAGTTCATTCTTGTTTTACTCATTTTTGATTAACCCTTTATCATGTCATTGTTAATTGCAATCCCACTCAGATGCCACTCCATATAGATCCTGTCATATGCATGCAAAATGTTCAGTTTATTAGCTATAATTACACAATTTTAGTATCAATAACAGTTTTACTTTTGTAGGATTCCCAGCTGGGCTGGATGGGGAATATTTTAAATATCTCACATCGATTAAGCTACGATCTTACAAAACTCTCGTGATCCGGCCTACCATTATAAGTAAAAGATGAAAGCAATAAAAGCAACGAAGAGTTCTCTATGTATTATTCTAAAGAGTTCCCTATGCTTGCCCTGAGTTCTCTAACCACGTGAATTAGCCCTGAAGCTATCCGAAAAAAAGTCGATGGACTAGAGCATTGCAATTTATTGACTGAGAGCAAACTCTCCTTTAGTTGTTAAAATCAGCAGTGTTATGTGTAAGAGGCTCCAAACAACCAGACACGAGTTGAACCCTGATTTAGCGGGGCAGCAATCGCAAATGTGATTGGAAAGATGAAGATGACGTGTGTTATTTTTAAAGCGCTGTGTAGAATATTTTAAACCTTTAGGGCTCTGTATATCTTTTCAAAATATATTTTATGAATGAATTTGTAATAACTTTTATCATGCCTTGTATATTGTGATCTTTTCTCAGGATAACTTTTTTTAATTAAGTTTACTATTAAACGTTAGCAACTCAACTAAACTTGAATTTGATCTTCAATTAAAATGAACTTGAAATAAGTTTCAGTGTGGATATAGACAAACATCTTAATTGATATAATCGATATGAAATAAATGAAATAAGTAGTTTTTGAAGAATTCATTTTAGCCTCACCTTTGCAGGCTTGTGAAGTTGGTGGAGTTTTTTTCACTGGCCTATTGATGCCGTGAAAGTGTCCCTTCTTTAAACCAAGTTTACCTCAGTCTTTTAAGTGTGAAAAAAATTTCGAGGAATTTTAAAATGAGCGATCACGTCGAACGAACTTGCACGTAAACCTGAATGAACAGATTGAAAATTTGATTATCTTGAGCAAATTTAAAAAAGGGTAAAAAAAATCGAAGTTTCTACGCATGATACGTTCGGGTAATTCAATCTCGCCCGCTGTCTGTTTTGGTGGGTTCGTACGAAAGTCTCGCACTAAAACCTCTATGTTTGCCGATGAATAGACACATGTACATACATTACTTAAGAAAGGTTCCAAAATACCTATTTAACTTTGGCGTTGTCATGGATTTCTTCGCATGTTCGTGCGGAACTTGCAGGGCTAAATGAAGCTAGATAACAGATTGTGGAAACCTGACTTTTTAATGTTTATCTATGGTATCGAGTTTTTCATTAAAAAACAAAAAACAGGGAAATCAGATGAGGGGTTGGGGTTAGATTAACTTTGGCAGATCAAACGAAAGTTGTAGAAGGGGCCTACTCGAAAAAATTGAAAATTTGAAAAACAAAAACGCTACTCTCTGCTTCAAGTTAGAGCAATCACCACAGAACTACTGCATAAGTAACACGATAGGGGGCACTGCTCATTGTTAAAGTATCTCTTTCTTTCTCATTCACTCCTTCATAAACTTAACGATACATTCTTCAGTAAAGTCCAGCCATAACCAAGGCATTTGATTTATTGTTTTGTGAAGAAATTCTTTCCAAACAAAGTTTTAGCAGCAAGAGTCTTACACTGTAGCAATTGAGTTTTTATCAAAGAGATAAAGACTGCTTAAAAAGCGGTTATGTGGCATTTCGAAATTTAACATTCAAGTTTCTGTCCGTGAGCATTGTCTTAATGTCAAGCTTCGAATTCGATTTTTTTGTTTGCTTTATTTTGTTACTCTATGGTGTCTTTTTTGTCTTAAAAGTTGTAGGTTTATCAGTATATAGCAGAATACTATCGGCAAAAAAATTATCTGTCGTTGCTAAACATTCTATGAGCATCCATTTAACGTGCTAAGTTACCATAGCAACAATAATGTAGCCAGCCGTATTTCACTGTACCTCCCACTTAAATCATAATTTTTGTTTGATATCTTCCCCCTCTACTTAAACCCGGTGATATAATAAATATCTTACACACCTCGTTTTTTCGGTCCGTACTATAAGTGACAGAAACTCGTCATATATCCGAGCGGAGAAAGCTCGATCCGTAACTTACAGTACGGAACACGAACTAATTTTGGTAGTGAGAATTATTATCAAAACGTCTAATAAGAGATATATTTAATGTGACCTGTCGCTATAACCTGGCTTTACTACTAATTTTGCGAAGTCCCGGATGTTTATAATCATTGGGTCACCATGTCGAAAGACTTCGACGGAAAAAGCGGACGGGCTTAAAATAACAAAAACATCAAGTCCCATTCGTTATGGAGCCAGATAGACAATCGCTCAAAGGTGATTATTCCTGTGTTTATTCAGGTTCTTTTCAAGAATTTGCTCTCAGTCGAAGGATCAAACATCAATTAAAACTACGAGGTCGTTCAAGCTCGAAAAAGGAACATTTTCCGTTTGATTTGGTCTTTCAGTGAATTCTAATTAACCTGGCAAAGCTGGCTTGATTTTTTTTAGACGCAGCATAGCTGAGAGGTTTGTCCCAAACCTCTCGCTGCGTGATGCTTCAAAGCGCGCAAAAGTGCCAGCTGCGCAGGCCAGATTTTGATTCAAGTCTCTTTTTATTTGCATATAGGTTTCTTCTGGAGTCAAACTTTGAGAAACAATTCAGATGAGACACCTTTGGTATCCATGCAACAAAGGCCCCTCATCGTTCCTGCGACCTTGCATTTTTCAGGACTCCGTGACAGATCTCCAGAGACACAGAACTCAGAAACGAAAAGTGGTAAGGAAGTGTAAAGAAGATTGAAAGTGAAAAATTTTTAACCATAGGATCAGCCTCTCTGGTCGTATCATTATATATTTATGACGTTTATTTGAAGGGGTAAGGTTGCATGGGTTGGTGTTTGTACGTGTGATATCGCGGACGAGGTAAACTAGGGGATCTTCTGTGCTTCAATTGAAGTCATCACCGTTTCTCTTTGAGCAGTTCGTTGTACTGGTAATTCCTACACATTCTCCTCGGACGAGGACTCCGGTTCAGTATCGGACACAGAAGATGAGAACTTTGAAAAGGTGAGACGCTTACTTTGGCACCCGATTCACGGTATTAAAATTAATTTTTCAGAAGAATAAATCCACAGGCATCAGAGAAGCGATAAGAAAACATGCACAATTTTTGTCAGAGCCTTTCTTGTTAACCCTATACACCCTAACATCAGTATGCATATTCTCCATAGTGTTCTTTATACATTTCCTTTGGTAATGAAAAGGAAAATTTGTTTAACAATCAATGCTTCATACTTTGGCGATCACTTCGCTTATTCTCATGATCTTAATGAACGATTCAGCAGGGTTACCGTGGGGAGAAATAGGATACTGGTCACCACTTATTCGAGATCCTGCCCGTAATGAACAACTGAAATCAGGATAAGAAGTCATATCGACAGTGACGTGTATCATTATTCTTTAATGTGCTTGCAAATAAGTCTCCTTAATTCCCTGTTTACCAGAAATTCTATGGCTTGTACATCGTCGTAATGGCGATGCCAAGAACGCGAATCTGCGCGCATATAACAGACATATTCATATTTGACGACAAATTATGAATAGTTCTTGCGGACGTTCAAAGAGACCGGTCTTTATTTGTCGCTTGGAGGGAGGGGGTGGGGGGGTTTGGAGTACATACATAGGTGTATGTGTTTTGATTGTGTTACGATAAAATTTTCCTGATATCCCCCTGGAGCTCTGTTAAATTCTTACAATCTCCACTTATTTGCAGTTAGTTGGCATTCAAATTCCAAACAGTTCTCCCCTTTATTCTGTTAGCGACAGTGGATCTCCTCTCGAAACCATGTGATCCCCCTCAAAATCCTACGGAGCCCTCCCCCCCCTCCCACTTCGACGATAAATAATGACTGGTCGTTTCCAATTGATTTGTTTTCCCTTTCACAGAAATCAAGACAATTGAATGACACAAAGTCAAAAGCAAAACAAATCCCAAGAAGGACCAAACCTCATTCTTCAGAACTGTCTGATGAGGCGAACATTAAAACAACTCCATATACTAAGAATTTGTTATTCCTAGCCAGCCTACTGTTAAACGTGTATTTTTTGGTATCATTCACCGACTGGCCCCAACGAATTCTTCAATCGCTTAGGAAGATTTCAGGAACAAGAAAATAAATCTATATAAATGTATTTTTTAAGAAGGCGAGGAAAATTATTCATTTGCTGTATATATTTAGTCATTTTGTTTGTTACCGTTAATAAAATATACCTGAATACAAAATATGACTGGTTGGATTATTACGTAGCTCAAAGGTGTTATCAGCCTGACTTTTCTTTTGAAAGGAGGCAGGCGACATTTCGATCTTTTTCTGCCGCTGATCGTGGATATGAAGCTTCTTAAGCAGAGCCCTCTTCTAATAATATCACCTTAAAGAACAGTTAGCGGTAGGAGAGTATTCTCTCTGAAAGTATCGAATTACGTTTGAACACTAACGAAAAAACAACAAATAGATTTCACCGGTATTTCGGTGACGTTCTCACTACATTTTGTCGTCTTCTACAATCCTTTACTGAACAGACCCACGGCATCATGGAATCTGTTTGTGTCTTATATGACAAAGAAGAGAATTGCTAATGGTGACGTCATCAATACGCCTATCCTCCAATAGATCATAAGAGCCAATCGAAGTGCGTGCACAATTCGGCTTTGTAGATAATTACTCAAGGACCATACCTCGACTCTTCCAGCTTCCTATCTATCCTAAGAGCCGCAACAAATTTAAGTTACTTTTTTTGTTCAGTATCATTCCTCTTTTCTCTTCCCTCTCGTAATTGTCACAGGCAGAGCCTGAAGTGGACAATGGCTTGTTCTGTGCGACTCTGTTCAGAATCTTCGCTAATCTTCATCGGATGAAAATTGGAAATCTTCAACAATGTCTTCGAGGTCTGCAGCAGTAGATGTGTTTAACGTGTGTGAAGTGTCCTCAGACGTAGTTTTATTAACACCCTTCCGTTTCTTCGTGTTATCTTTCTCTTGTTTCTTCTTATTTTCGGAGCTCTGATGTTTCCTCTTTCTTTTTGACGCCACTTTTGTTTCTTCCACATCGGATGTTTCCTCGTTCCCTCCATTTCCAGTTTCTTCTTCCCTCTCCTGCAAAGCAATCGAGCGAATTTTGAAATCTTTGACTAACTCTCCCACCCGAGTTACTGTAAGAAGAGTATACAGAAGCTATTCAAGTAGAGACACAGAGGCCTCGTGATTTGCCCGCTCGACAATGGACCACGAGATCTGGGCATTTGGCCGAAAAAAATAAAATTTCGTACTGTCGCAGTGCCTCTCCCAACCATAAATTTAAATGGGTACTATACTAAACGCGATTTTTGTAGTCGAAATTTTAGCACATTTAAAGATAGTTTTCGAAAGGTTGGGCTATTCGGTGGAATCTCGGAAGAGAAGTACAATTTTAAGACTACGAATCTTCCCACCTTTTTGGTGAAGTCCGTAGGGCAGGTTAAAACAAAATTAAAAATAAAAACCAGCGAACAAAAAAAAAATTGATGGACGTTCCAGACTCACTCCCTTTGTTCCATGCGGCGTGCTAACATATTTTTGAAATAAGGGGATCTATTTTGACTCGCACTTCGGACTTCGCCAAAAAGGAGGGACATCTGGTCGTCTGGACATTTTCCAAAAATAAAAGTTACGTCACTCTTTGGAATCTCGAGCAAAAGCGGTCAATGTCCGTATGGTGCACCCAACCTTCCTTAGGAAATTATGTCATCATGTCTTACCTGTTGCTGTATGGATGGTTTCATTGTCTTCCAAGTCTTGTAAAACTTCACAATAGTATTTGGCTGTTGTCTGTATTGAGACGTCCATCTTTCCTGTGGAAAAAAAAGCAAACAGCGCTTTAACAGCATTATCCAAAGCGTTTTGTGACTTCCACAAAACATCGAAAAATACAGCGCAGTTATTCTCAACCAGTAAGTAAAGAGAGCAAAATACGTAGGGATACAGGCAGCCTTTTGTAGCTTATTTGTAGAAATAGTAGTTTTATTAGCTTATTATGAACCTTTCTCGGAAACTTACCACTTCCTCCAAATCTTTAGGACTAAAGGACACTTTAGATCGTCGGTTTGTTACTTCCGTCGAAGTCTCCTCAATCTGGTAAAAGAAAGACAAAAATTTGATACCGATTCCTGCAATAAAATTGAAGAATAGGAAGATCTACCACAGTATTACCTTGTCAACGAGTTGCTTGAACTGCTTTCGATATTTTGGAACACTTGTTGTCTTGATAAACTTTCTTAACTGTGAAAGGATAGTAAACAGCATTGTCATGGCCACACAAACCAGTATTCAATATTATTTCCTTCGCTCTGTGATTGGCCCAGAAAACTCGCGCCACTTTCCCAACCAATCAGATGCAAACTAAAACCAACAACGACTTGGTCGCCCGCGTTTTCCCGCGCTTTCCCGCGCTTTAGGCAACGGGTTGTTTTTTAATTTGAGTTTTCATTCGCTCGTAAAGGCATTGCCCTTTGTTCCGATCGGTCGTTTTGATTGCTTTGGTTTGGTTTTATGACAATCGAAAAGCGCTCCATACAAACAAAATTGTGATTACTTACCCTCACTACAGCAGGGAGGGCAACTTCAGGGAAAGCTATAGAGTGAGCATGTATGGAAAATAATTCTAACAGTAATTCAAAGATATGATCCATAACTGCATCCTGCAAAAAGAAAAGCCTGTGTGATTAAAGGGGACGGATACACGCACGGGTTGATCCATATGTATTTAATTATTAAGTGGGAGGGCCGAAGCGGAACATATTTGGCCCGACGTCATGACCCTTCCAGCCTGACCTGAATACGCATGCGCAGTGTACGGGAAGACGTTGACACCATTGGTCCGCGATCACGTGATACTGGGAGGTAAAAATGACTCACTTGACCAAAAGTGACATGGTCAAATCTGATTCACTTAAAGTGTCTTGAGAATTGCACTTGAGAAAGACACCTAACACCTCCATAGCGGACGATCCACCCGAACTTTGTGTTGTAACGATGAACGCATCCTCATTTATCAACGCAACTTCAAGTTCTTCACCAACTTCTGGTTTAAACATTTACGCTCAGCTGAGCCCTACATTTTATCTGTGCCTCGTCATTTAAGATGCGATTATCGCTCTGGCGACTACTCTGGGAAATTTTCTCCTGCTCGTTGTAATCTACCGCGATCCATTCCGTTGCTTGAGAACTCCGACAACTTTTCTGATCGCAAATCTCGGGGTGGCCGATTTCTTTGTTGGAGCTTTCATGGGATTCGGTCGTACGGTAGAAATGTATTTCCTCTACAAAGGACACCAAGAGCCACCTTATCTTAATATCTTCCAATATTTAATAGGTGCACTGGCCATGTTTGCGGCAGTTTGTTCAATAATGGCAATGTCTTGGGATCGCTTTGTAGCAGTAACAGACCACGTTAACTACAAGAACAGAATAACAGTGAAAAAAGTGAAGTTGTACATCCTATTGATTTGGCTAAATGCGTTATTTTTAGCAGTTTTACCCGCCGCTGGTGTCAGAAAAATAACTTTCCTTTACGCGTACACTTATTCGCATGTGTTTTTTCCTGCAATCGTCTTAACAGTGGCCTACGTTGTGGTTTTCAGGACGTTATCTCAAAAACTTCCACATTTTAACCGGCGAGTTTGTGCAGAAAACCCGACAAACGAAACGCGGAGAAATTTCTATCGAGAGAAAAAGCTGGTGTTAGCCATCTTTCTTGTGTTAGTTGTTTTTTACACTTGTTTTTTTCCGTATGTTGTCAAAGTACACTTGTGGTTTTTCTGTTCACGGTGCGAAACCTCCGCTGCTTTTATAACATATCACTTCATATCAAATGATATCTTATCACTCTCTTCGCTAGTAAATCCTTTTATCTATGCCTGGCGACTGCAAAGCTTTCGTAAAACGTTCCTTACAGTGTTGGGCTTTGGACAAAGCATCGAAGATGAACGACCTGTTTGAGAAGAAAACAGATTTCCGTGGATCGTGTGTTGAAAGAAAGAGAAAGGAAACGTTATAATATCACGTAATATCACAAATCCTTTATTGCAAACTTGAAAAAATATAACAAAAATGAAAAAAAAAACAGACTTCGTCAAGAATATAGCGCAAAACACAAATCTGAGTCCTGGTAAAATGTTGATCTCCAAACCTTTCTATGAGGTTTTAAGATTAAGTTTTACATTAAAAAAAGAGCTTTTGAACTACATAGAAATTTATATATAAATACACGCAACTGAAAATATTTTCTTCATGTCAAAAGTCTCACGAAATCATTACTTTGCGCTCTTTTACTTTTTAAAATGATTGCGCAAAACCAATATCTGTTCATACTGTATGATAATTTTTTCTCATTTTAATACGAGTTATATGCTCAAGCAATAAGTTTTAAAGTTGACAAATGCATGACCTTCCATTCTTTGTGAAAGAACTCCGTATATTTGAGCGTTCAGAAATGGGACTAGTGGAAAAAGAGGTGTTTTATTTCACGACCTATACAAAGCAGTGTTAAAATTGCCCGTGATCAAAACTTCAATTAAACGACTTATATCAGGTGTATTTGCTGAAAGGTCAGTTTGCTGACAGATCTTATTTATTGACCTGGTATAAAGAGTTTTTCCAGCCCGTTCATAAATGTCCTTGACATTAATTTCCTATCTCTGGAGTCGGTCATATTTGCACTCAGGCGATAGCAATTAAGGTTAAAAATAATAATTAGTAAAATCATTTCCACTGACGAGGGGCTAATATGGACATCTCCCATATTATGTTAAACAATCCGGTTCTGGATTGAAACACAAAATTAATAGATGACAAAGACTTGGACAAGCAAGGCTTCGTAAACAATTCCACATATTTAGGCAAGATTCAAGAAGCGCACGCAAGCAAGACTTGTGCATAAAAACCACATTTGGTTGGTAAAATGCTGTCGCAAAACTTAGCAACAATACGTGATTCCTGAGAAGAAAAGTAATTTGTTTTTCAGCGAAATCGCAGTGTTGTGGCTAGGAAACCAGGTCACCAAGAAAGATTTAACACAATCTAGAGGAGAATTTCAAAACAAACGAATATTAAGTAAGGTAAGCCGCGACGGGTGAAGATTACATGCGAAAAAAAAAATCGTAACCAGTGGCCCAAGCGATCGTATGGAAATGTCAGCTACTATAAACGTAGCGAAACATTGTCCAAAAAAAAAAAGGTAACAATTGCACCTGTTTTACGATCAAATGGATATCAGGTTTTATCAATGGGTGATCGCAGCGATCAGCAATCCCAAGAAGCATTGCAGTATCTCTTTAAGTTTCCCAAAACATGCACCACTAAAATAGGCCATTTCCAAATTACCTTTGGCCTCTTTTTCAAAACGGGGTCCGGTGTTCAACCATTCGTTTGACAAAGATAATTTGCACGTCAATGAAAACTTATAGTCCTATGAAAGATTGAGCACCAGGACTCACTTTGAAAAGGAGGCCAAAGGCAATTCGGAAATGGGCTTTTGTTTAAGCTAGCGATTACAATCGCTGTGACCGCTTGATTGACACCTTTTCCATTTGGCTTACACATGGTAACGAGACTCCAACGGAGTCCTTCGCCTCAATCCTGGGTCTCCTATCGTTGTCCTTAAGCAGAGCTATTCCATATAAAATTATTAAGATGCTGTAGTCAGTTTCGGACAAAGGCAAAATTTAATAAGACTTCGTTTATGAGGATTCTTTTTCCCTTTTGTAATTATTTTTCATCAGTTTTTACTGAACTTTTACAAGCCATTATGTCGGTAAACCTACCGTTGGTAAACTTGTCAGAATCTCTTTTGATCGGAAAAACGCCGACAAAAGCGTTTAACCAAATAATTTTAGCTAAAAACACCATCAGGTCTTTTTTTGAAATGAAGGTGATGGAGAGCACGCGTTCCCCGCAACAAGCAGGTGAAATTCTCGTTACGGTACCCCTGCCCTTCAAGGATCAGAGATCAGCAAACAAACTACGCGAACAAGTTAGTGATCTTAGTCGGAAGATAAATACCGAAGTACATCCTGTCTTTACACTGAAGCCGCAAGATCAAAGATGAGCTTAAAGCTAAGGAACTTAAATCTCCAATTGACAACCAGCAAAACGTTGTATATCTCCTTAAGTGTGATCTGTGTGATACAGATTATGTCGGCTTTACAAGCCGACAACTACAGCAACGTGTGGAGGAACATAAACGATCGGTAATCGGCAACCATGTAAGAGAACATGGAATCGAACCATGTGAAATCGCAAATAACTTTAGGGTCCTGAGGAAATGCTCAAACAGGTTCGATTGTTTGATTTTCGAAATGTTTTTTTATTCGGGACCTTAAGCCAAAACTGAACAAACAGAGCAATTCTATTCGCGCGAAGCTGGTTGCTTAACACTTCATATTAATTAATTTTTATCTTTTTCACCGCTTATTTACACTTCATTTTTGCACTTTGTTATTAGTTAATTTTTAATTTAACAATTTCAATGGCAATATAGTACAAAATAAAGAGGAAAAAAAAAAGGAAAAAGAAATGCCATAGGGATAGTCCATGAAAGAGTCAAAGATCCCATGCTCAGACAGACCACCCAGCTAAGGAAAAGATATACATAATAAATATACAAGGACAAAGAAGATATAAAAGTACAATTTAGCTCTATTGTTTATATGTAAATACTTAGCTTTTACCTCCGTTCCATTGAATCAGAAACCGTATAAATGCGGAAATTTAGGCATGAACTCTAACTTGAAACTTGAAAATGATCGTGGAGCAGTCGAAACGTCGTATATATTTTCTATCGCTCGTTTTTATCACTAAAGATTTTAGCTAAGTTATCCTATAAAAGCCCTTCATGTTAAGATATACTGAATTATTTCCTTTCATTTTTTTTTTTTTTTACCCATTCTACCCCATACCTGTAAACTAATGACAACTGTTCTTCGATATTTACTAGTTTGTGGGAATTATTGTGTTTTGGTAAATTATATCTTGGAGGTAGTTCTTAATAATTGCTAGGATATTGATTCCTTGTAGGAAATCTCTACTCGGTATTACCCTGGAAACTCTTTATTTTCTGGGGAATTCGTCAGTCTTATCGAAACGATTGCCAAATTATTGACCAAAAAAATTGTTCATCACGGGAAAAGGAAGTACCTGAAAGCATATTTACCAATTGAGGTGAAAAACATTTAAGATACGAAAGGTTGACTAATAAAATCTGTGAACAATCAAAGAGTTTACAACAAACAAAAGCGAAGGCGACTGATTAAATATCGTTCGTCTATCATGTTTTTGACAGTAAATATTCATACTGATATGCTAATTTTCTTTTCTTACGATCCTCTCAAAAGCTAAGGTTTCTCTGTGTTAAAACAGTCTCTCACTTCAATGAACTTTCGATAATTTCGTCTGAATATTACTTTAGCAAATCTTCCCCACGAAAAAGAAAAACAGAAGAGATATAAAACTTATCACTGAACTTCGAAAACTCGCAAAATGAAGAAGACGAGGAAAAATATGAGATGCAAACCGTGTTAAATTAAAGCTACTTTGTTTCATATATTAAGCAAACAACACGAAAATCGATGTACTACATATGCGATTTGAATAGCAGTGAAATAAAAGACTGTTAATCACCTTTGTGCAGATTTTTTCTCTGCAGAATAAAAGCCTACAAAGCAACACTTTGTGTTGCCTGTGCGTGCTCATTAATAGCATTTCTTCTGAAACCCAGCACTCTTAAAAACGTTTTTCGGAAACTTTGCAATCGGCAGGCATAGATTAAAGGGTCGATAACTGCGGACAGGGAGAAAATATCATTCGATATGAAGTGATATCTTAAAAACGCGGGAGCGCTATCGCACTGTGAACAGAAATACCAGACATGCACTTTCACAAAGAACGGGACAAAACACATATAAAATGTCACTAAAACAAGAAAGATGGCAAAAACCAGCTTTCTCTCGCGCTGGAAATTTCTGGGCGTTTCAGTCGGCGGGTTTTCTGTACCAACTACGAGTGGCAGTTTGAACTGTCCAAGCTTATTAGATACCGTCTTGAAAACCACAACATAAGCGGCTGTTAAAATGATTCCAGGCACAAATATATGCGAGTAACAGTAGGCAAGGAGAAATTCGAGTTTTCTGACACCTACGGCGGGTAAAACTGCCAAAAATAACGCACTTAGCCAAATCAGTAGGATGTACAACTTCACTTTTTTCACTGTTATTCTGTTTTTGTAGTTGACGTGGTCTGTTACTGCCACAAAACGATCCCAAGACATTGCCATTATGGAACAAACTGCCGCAAACATGGCCAGTGCTCCTATTAAATATTGGAAGATATTAAGATAAGGTGGCTCTTGGTGTCCTTTGTAGAGGAAATACATTTCTACCGTACGACCGAACCCCCCAAAAGCTCCAACAAAGAAATCGGCCACCCCGAGATTTGCGATCAGAAATGTTGTCGGAGTTCTCAAGCAACGGAAAGGATCGCGGTAGATTACTACGAGCAGGAGAAAATTTCCCAGAGTAGTCGCCAGAGCGATAATTGCATCGTAAATGACGAGGCACAGATAAAATGTAGGGCTCAGCTGAGCGTAAATGTTTAAACCAGAAGTTGGTGCAGAACTTGTTGCTGTGTTGTCAAATGTGGTTGCAGTCATCCTTTTAAACAGTCTTGTTGGAACAAACTTTAAAGCTGAATTTTATCAGACCTTAATTAACGAACTTAGCGCGTCATTTTCATCGACGGCGCCTCTGTTTCAAGACGAAAAAGTACCGAGTGTGATATTAGCTTTAGAAATGTCCGGAAAGGCCTCCTGTGAAACTCTGGGAACTACCTTGATCTTGGGAAGGCTGCTTCATACTCTCTTTCATCGGAGACATAACTGGATAACTCACAGAGCATAATTCCATACACTTGAAGGCAAGAGTTCCATATAACCCCATACATTAATTATGCATAGAGTGTTGCAAAGAAACCTTTATATTTAGTCTTTATGAAATGAATGTATAATTTAACGTAAGGGGTTATATGGAACTCTTTCCCACTTGAATTCCAAGTCAGAACGTTACCGAAATTAGTAAAAGAACGCAAAAATATTAAATATCGATGAAGAAAATTCAAAACTCGCGAGCACGGCCGTAGATGCTCGCAAAAATCGCTTCTCCTGCTTAAAGTTACAGAATCCTGATCTTGCAGAATCCTGCTCTTTTAAACGAAACGAAACATCGCATACAACTGAAGAGGTCTGTGGACGAAACTAGTTTTGTAGTACGCGTGTTTTAAAGTGCGTTGAAAGTTAATTTTAATGAGGTTTTGTTTTTAATAAGGAAATAATTTCTGTGACACGTATAACATAAGGAACAACGCTTCTGAAAAGCGTTCTGTTTTTAACTAAATTTTCATCTTTTATCAACTCGGCTAACCTTAATAAACATACGATCCTTCTAAATGGTACCAGAAAAAGCAAATGATATCGTAAATCGGCCGTTATTTTGAAGGCTGAATCATGGCCAATTAAGTATTGGAGGTGGCTTATCGATTTTCCTTCAACAGAATTAAATGAAAGCTAACAGTACGACAGTGTCCAGTTCGAATCGTATAAAGCAGAGCTCTAGTCCTGACCTTTAATAAATACTTTATGTCCAATCTTGTGTCTGGTTCACTATTTCTTTTTCCAACTATTTCTTTTTCCAACTATTTGTTTTTGTTTGTTTTTTTTTTTATTACGAACCCAGAAGAATATCATTACGAACCCAGAAGAATATCATTACGAACCCAGAAGAATATCATTACCAACGAAGTGTCACGGAAACCTGTCAAAATCCTGGGGGCTATCTGCACTGGAGTGGACTTCGATCTCAGAGGACTGGAGCAGAAGAAACTCCTGTTCACTTTATGCGACAAACAGGTATATAGATGAAAGGGCCTCTCTTTTAACAAAACGTGACGTATAAAGGCTGGTTTTCCCTCTAGCGAAAAATGCTGTTCTTTGCTGCAAAGTGTTGGTGAGCTGAGGAGTCTATTAAGAAATTCATCTTTACTCCGATCCGAAAGGTTACAACAGCGACAAAAGAACGAACAACGAAACTGCGAGGTTAATAGTTAGATGATGCGATAGGAGAGCACGTGTAATTCCCTAGAGAGTGTCACATGATCTTCATGATCTTATCCAACGAATCACATTACATGATTATTATTTCTCCAACAGAGTCAGCCCACTATGGGAGAGATGGGAGGTACAATGTTTACTTCGTGACGTTTCGATAATTTATCGAAGTTTTGCTGGAGTAAAACCACCTTTAGCTTGAACGTGACAGCAACAAACAAAAGGTTTGGCTCAGGACGAAGACGATGAAACAGATTGTAATTGACGACTTTAGATTTCTTCACGACGAAGAGACAGTGTCAAAGGGGTGCAGCCATCAACAAATATGATGGAGGCTGACTCGATAACCTCGCGGTTTTCTTAGTCTCCATGCACGAACTATGGAACAATGTTACCTTTAATTTTTTACATATGTATCGTTTCCTGGTTTTTTTTTTTTTTATGTCAATATTGTAACTAAAACTTGAGTGCTAAATAAAGTAAAGTTGAAGTTGAAGTACTGACAGTCTGTAGTGAAATTAGACTTGTCTAACAGTACCTGATAAGGCTTGGTCCCCAACTGCTGTTTAGAAACCTTCAGTATACAAGAAAACTCTGTTGGCTTTGCTGTAGACATTTTGACTTTCTTGTTCAATTCGACTGACTCCAAGATCTGTTACAATGCCACGATAAATTTATTTCTTTCAGAACTCCAGATAACGGACACGAGTAACTAAAATCGGACACTAGCGTCTAAAACCAGACAACACTGTCCAAATTGGAACAATAGTGTCTTTATACAAATGCTAGTGTCTAAAATTGGACACTTGTCTTTAAAGTTTGACACTAGTGTCCAAGAAAACATCGGATACTAGCGTCTAAAATTGGACACTAGTGTCAAAACCAGACACTAGTGTCTAAAATCGGACACTGGGGTCCAAAAAGTGGTAATCTGACACTAGTCTAGAGCGATCATCAGTGAAGAGCGTCTTACGGTTTAGCTATAATTAAGATGTAAGATGTTAGCGGCAGATACTAGTTAACTCTTCCGAAAACATATGCCAACCGCTCAACTTTAGGAAATACTTGTACAGCGCTGTAGATTCTGCTCTGTATCGCGTTGATCTGAATGAAATGTAAATCAGGTAAATTCGATGTCGTCTTGACAGTCTATTTACGCAGTAGCAGGCCAAAATGTTTAATATTTGCGCAGCGATCGAGCAATGAAGACATCGATGGCGAAGACTACAACCAACACGAAGGAGGAACAAAATATATATTTCTGACTCAGCTGCTTACTTGATTGCTCCAATGACTGTTTGTACTAAAGGATAAATAAGTGGTTCGAGTACTCCACTGCTCTTCACTTCGCTTAGAACACGACACCAAAGATGAAGACAGTGAACATATTGCCAATTATACACTGACTGGTATGAATCCTACGAGATAAATATAAACAAAAAATAAAGACTGGGTTTTAAAGGGCATGTAAGCGGTGGAACAGAAATATTGCAAAAACACGAATTGCACAGTAAAATTGGTATGGCAGCTCGTCTGCTTAATCCTTAATATTACTGTAGCTTTTGCTGAGGAAAACTTCAACATCACCAAATTGAGGGTTATCAAAAAAAAGCTTAGAGATTCTGAGGAAGGAAAACATAATTCCGTACCTTCTTTTTCTGCAGAATGGCATTCCTGAGATGAATAGCAAGCTGCCTGATGTACACAAATCCATACTGATAGCAAAGATGTTCATCCAAACTAAATATCTCCACAAGCGAATTCTGCATAAACGTGATGACGGGCTTGGTCTTGGGCGACATAAATTTTGCATTCTTCACAAAATTCATATACAGTTGCTGAAAGAGTAAAGTGAGGAACCTGGCATCAGACGAAAAACGTTTTGGGGAAGAACCATAATAATCCTCTATCATTACTTTTCAGCTTCAAACGAAGGCATTAAAAAAAATTTACAGCCCATAGTTTGAATTAAGGAATACCGTAGATCTTAGCATGCTCCAGGCCTTCAGTTTATGAAATGGAGCGTAAACACAATGATACCGACCAAAAAGAATCCTGTGAGGGATTTCTGTTTTCGTAATTGATCTCACGCAATGGTCTCCGAAGCTTAAGTACAAAAAAAAAACCCCATACGATTTTGAAAACCAACCCCTCAGATTTCAAACTGTGCAGAAAATTCATTTGTGCGGTCAGACTTGATACCCGATTGGCTTTCTCAAAGAAACATCGTCCGTTTCAAATTGTCGCGATTCAGTCGGTTTACGATTAGATCAAGCTAAAACGGAAACAGTTCTTACGGAAGGAGCATTTCGTAACCTTTCCGTTTTTATATAGTGATCATGCTTTAAATTCCGCGTCAACAATATTTTTCGCAAAGGTCTTATCTACCGCATCCCTAATGTCTGTGATTAAAATCAAAACTTTTAAGCACAAGTGACCTAATCAGTAAAAGACACACCTTAACAGTAAACTCCAGGAGTGAAAAAGGCATCATGGTGGAAACATTTCTGATTCCAAGAAAAGCGAGGACTCTGACGTGTTCTTCACCACCACTCCACATCCTAACAAGACGCTGAAATAAAACATTTTTGAGCAGTTTTGAATTAAGTTTCCACATCAATGTTGGTTTTGCTTCAGTACGCTCTTGAAAGCTTATCCCCGATAACACGGTTAGAGTTGTAATCCAAATTCCCGTATGCCGCCCAAATGCCACACACAATCAACTTTCTAAAAGCTATGGCCACTGCAGCTGATTGATGTTGAAAAGTCAAAACTTAAAGGGCCGGTCATTTTAACATAGTTTTGCGGCTGTTTCACATAAGCCGCGTCGTAAACAGTCTTCAGTTTAGCTGAACCTTCTATCTGAGTGTCAAGGAGTGTCACGGAGAACAAATATTCCCTTTCTTGCTTTAGTATTCGGGATTCTGCTAACAACTCAATTGATTTAAAACTCAAAGAAGCTTTTTATATAAATAAGATCAAACCTGAACTTAACAAACAATTAAAGCATTATAACACTTTTCTAGCGTTTTAGTTCACACCTTTGATGTTTGGTGTCACGTTGTAATTAGTACCCGCTTTTGTATTACATCATACTGTAAATATTTTATTCATCTACTTGTCTGTTATATAATTACTCACGTTCTGTTACTCATTGATTGAAGATGGCATAAGCATGCCGAAACATGTCTCTCAAAAAAGTTGTCTATTTCTTACAATATTTATCATACTTGCTACTACTACGACCTTATGGAAATATTATTTTAATTATTAGTATTATTGCAACGAAGCAAAAATGTTGATACAAGCAAAAGTTTCAACAATTTTCACCCTGTATACATTTAGTATAATTTCGGAGCTGAGCAAAGAGTTTCCAGCAATCTGATTGGTCGAGCGGTTCCTTATATGATGCTATATATAAAATGTTAAACTAAAATGTTAATAAATTTTACTAAAATGTTATGATTTTAGAAATTCCTCTGTTGTTCAGCTTTGAAATTATACTAAAACAATTGTTCGCCTTAGGTTCAATAAATATTGACAAATAATCCCCTCGACTTCGTCTCGGAGATTATTCGACGATATTCACCGAACCTGAGGCGAATAATTGTTAAATATTTGTACAATCTCTATCTCNCTGGTTACAAATATCAATATAATGATGGTAAATTCTCCTTTCTTGATATATTTATTGACAACTCTTCGAATGATTGTGTTTTTTCAGTTTTTCATCAAAAAACCTACACTGGTCTCCTAACAAATTTCTTTAGTTTTATTCCATCATGCTACAAAATTGGCCTTTTGTAAATCGGACCTATATATCAAACTAGTTTTCACTTCTTTTAAAATTAAAAATATGTTCAGTGTTAAAATCGTACTCTAATGCTCTAAAATCCATGGTAGTTTATCAATTTTCTTGTGCTGGATGTAATTCCCATTACCGGTATATTGGCGAAATTGGTTGCCACTTCTCTACTAGGATAAAGGAGTACATGGAAAGGGATAAAAACTCGCATATTTTTAAACATTTCAACTCATCTCCTCCTTGTAAGAACAAATACTCCCTTTCTTGCTTTAGTATCTGGATTCTGCTAACAACTCAATTGATTTAAAACTCAAAGAAACTTTTTAAATAAATAAGATCAAACCTGAACTAAACAATTACAGCATTATAACTCTTTTCTAGCGTTTTAGTTCACACCTTTGATGTTTGGTGTCACGTTGTAATTAGTACCCGCTTTTGTATTACATCATACTGTAAATATTTTATTCATCTACTTGTCTGTTATATAATTACTCACGTTCTGTTACTCATTGATTGAAGATGGCATAAGTATGCCGAAACATGTCTCTCAAAAAAGTTGTCTATTTCTTACAATATAGTGTACGTTGTAATGAAGATCTCACACAAAACAAGTGGCGCTCATGACAAATGTTATGCCCTTGCATGACTGATTTAATTATGATAACTGTTATAACTCTGGAGACAATAATTTGCCTTGCCATGACTGCAGTATTACCTTTATAAATGCCTTGGCCACTTTGGGAAAACAGGCATAATACGGTGTTAACTGTTGTGCATGGCGCAGAATTACGCACAACATGGATGGCTCTGTGAGGGTCCGCAGCAACTATCGAAATAATAATAAAAAAAAACAAAAACAAAAACAAAAACAAGAAATTGTTGAGAACTGAGAAGACTCAAACATGATTATCTAGAATATCATTGGAGGATAAGGTTACTTACTTGTAGAACATCACTAAGGTAATGTTTTAGAGGTGTTTTCACGTGGGACCACCTTGTGTGTGAAGAGGGCAGAACTCTGCAGTGTAAAAACCAGATGGAAGTGATTTATCTATCTTGGAATGAGTTAGTCAGTAAGCTATAGACTGACTGACTTACTATTTAACAAAGGGACTGGCTGACTGACTGATCTACTAACTGAATGACTGACCAACTCATTTGCTCGCTTGCTCACTAACTGACTCACTGACTGGCAGGATGGCAAGCTGACTGACTAAAAGTTTGATACACTGACTATTAGACGGACAGACAGATAGATGGTGGACAAATTCCCTCATCTAAAGACTAGCTTCCAACTTGAATAAACTAGAATGGAGGATGAAAAATCTGAAATGTTATATTCTGGGTATATCTACTGCTTCAGCTCTTTACAAACCTCTTTCCATGTCTATTGTGTGTCCCTCCAACAAAGTGAAACAACACTGAGTAAGCATGTTTCAAACATAGCTGAACAATAGCATTAAACACTGAAAAAGAAATCAATAAAAATACATACATGACCAAATTGAATTTACACTCTGACCTGACCAACAAATGGCCAGCAGGATTAGGCAGATGACTGAGAGGTTGGACTTAAAGCCATTTTTAGGCAACAGTTCTGTGTTCTTGGGAGAGACAATTTCATCACAGTCCCTCTCTCTACCCAAGAGTATACTAATGACCAACAAAACTATCATAGAAAACTTGAAAAACTGTTTAAGGGCCCCCTATTTTGTACTGAAATCCCCTCAAGGAATAGAGACTTTTGTTCTACGTGACAAGAATATCAAGATACAGGTAAGCTTTGACAGTTATGAGTCACTACATGTAGGTTGGTAGACCTAAGCCCTTTGCCTCTTCAAAAAATCATGAGATGTTATAAAAAAACTTAGTACCTGTATCTCCTTCTACTTTGAATTTCAAGGGTGTCTGTATTTTGTTGTCATCAACAGTACCAAGAGCCCCTTGAACAGCAGAACGGAATGCTTGCAGAGCTTTTTTCAGAGCATGAAGTGAATTTTTCTAAAAGCAAGTAACAGGAGTTCATTAAAACACCAACCACAGCAGATTTAGCTAAAATTCACTCTTCATTGATAAATCAATTCATCTACAAAAACATTTACAAGTTTATTGAGTTCACAGTAAGAGATTGGTCACCTTCTGATCATTTTTATTGACTTCTTGCTGAACATCACATTTCATTTTTTTTGTCATATCTTTGGATAGAGGTTGAATTTGATTATGGAAAGCCAGTACATTATGTAATACCAAACACTTTGCTAGAAGTTAATCAACATAGGTCTCTTTCTGGTAAAATTGCATGTTATCAGTGGTTTTTATCAGTGATTCAATGCGTACTATAGGAACTGAACAAAGAGAGAATTAGGTAAAGTTAACCCTTAAACCTCTAATAGAAGCTACTGTAGCTTCTAAATTCTCTTTACAGTAACACCCTGGCATCAAATATAAAAGTCTTAAGGATAAAGGAAATGATCACCAATTTAAGGAACGCTCTATTGCCAAAAATTTTCCCTTCTCACTGCCATAGGAAATGGAAAGAGAACAGTTTGTAGAATGTGTGAATACTAATGTTTAGGCCCTGGTTGATCGAAGGGCGGATAGCGCTATACACTGGATAAATCTCTATCTGGTGGATAGCGCAGTACGTTTTTGTAACACTTATCCGCTGGATAGCGATTTATCCGTTGGATAACGTTATCCCCTCTTTGAACAACGCAGCCAGGTGTACATGGTTAACCACAGATACATTAAGCAAAAGCACCTCCAATCCTGTTCGCCACCCTTTGATCATGTCCAAAGTAACTTTTTGGCCTTCATCTGCTGCATCTTTTTCTTCATTTCCATCCAGGTAATTGTTTTCTTCATTACCAGATTCATCTCTCTTTGTTTCAGTCTGCAAGGGTCAAAATAAAATTATGTGAACTCCCTATCTGACTTAAGTAGGTTAGGCTTGTTAATGTATTTCAAAATTAACACTGATACACCTTACTTAATAGAGCAGGATCTCAAAGAGCTGAGACTAAGATTATCTTGTGTGTGTGTGCATGTGTGTGTGTGCATGTGTGTGTGTGTGCGTGTGTGTGTGTGTGTGTGTGTGTGTGTGTGTGTGTGTGTGTGCATGTGTGGATGGTCAAGGTTACCTAGGCTATTTAATTCTTTTTGCAACAAGAATTACACCATAATCAAAAAATATCTCTAAGCAGTACATGTGGTATATCCCTGTCACATTAATCTGGATGTAAGCATATATTTAACCATTTTGGAGTTGAAGCAACTTTCGCAAAGTCCATTAAAAAAAGCATTTAGACATACAGTGACAATAACAACAAAGAGTTCGGCAAGAGTACCATATAACCCCATACATTAATTATGCATTCAGACTAGTACACTTTGTTTTTAAAGTTTTGTCATGAATGACAAAGAAGTGGAATGCAAAATTAATGTAAGGGGTTATATGATACTCTTTCCTAGAGTTCCCCTACTTCACTCTTTTCTTCGTAATCATCACTCTCTTCTTCAGTTTTGTCATCATCCTCATAATCAGAGTTGTGGTCATCATCATCATAATTGTAGTCATCGCCATCATTATCTCCTTCATCCATTTCTGAGCCAGTGTCTGAGTCATTAAATTCCAACAACTCCTTATCATTTTCTTTCAAAAATTTGTAGAACTCAGGATCCTTTTCTTGTAACTTCTCCAACTGTTTCTTGTGGTCAGCACTTTTAGATTTTCTGTTAAGATTTCAGTATAAAGTAAGCGTGTAAATGATTAAGTCCCTGTTATCTTCATAATGGATGAAACATCCTCTCATAAAAGTATCGCGTGAGCCTGATGTTTATATTTTATATCTACAGTTTAAAAAGTAAAACACATCCAACGATTACTTTTTGGGTAAACGAGCACCATTTTGAGGAACTTTTTCAAGAGGAGAACTTGAAGTAATGTTCTCCAAGCTTTCTTCGTCACTGAGGTCTGAATCTAAGCCATGCATCATAAATTCTTCCGCGTCCATATCGCACAATCTCCTATAAAAAATGGGCCATCGTTTAGATCTCAGAAGTTAATCTTTCTCTAAATGACGCAAATAAAGTTCAAGTTACCCTCACCGCTTAGCGTCCGCCATGTTGTGATTCGAGCCACGTGTGCTGTTGTAACGGAAGTATGTACACTCCATGTTGTATTATATGACCAGCAGAAAATATTACTACATATACTGCTGCCAAGGTAAGACTGTGGGCGAAGAGACGAGAAGACATATTACAGATTTTGTCATTGGATAAATGTTTTTCAATTTTATCCAATGACCACTTAGTTTAGAAAACGAGCACTGGATACGAGAAAGAGTATCAAGATGGCGTCTGAGGTTGGTGTTGTAGTGTTTAGTTTATTTGTGATATTGGTTATTTTGGAGAATACTGAAAAAGTTATCATTCTCTGTAAAGGTCGATGACGCTGCTGTGGAGAAAGAGAAAGAATTGCGACAGAAAAGAGTATACTATTATTTTATTGCGTTGATGTGAAGAGTAAAAAATTTCAACAAGTATTGCATCGTCATCCCAGCATATTTTTACCAATCTTTTCCAATAGATTAACACAGCGGTGAAGTTTCTTCAAAATCCGAAAGTAAGGGAAACTCCAGTGTCTGCACGAAAAGCGTTTCTCGAGAAGAAAGGTATTGAAAACGTTGTAGAGAAGCAGGCTGCTATTATTGTGTGTTAAGTTTGCAGCCAAACACTGTTTGTATTCAGATCATGTACAGAAGAGAGGTATGATCACTAAAATATGTTGAAAAAACTACATACACTGAATTTTTCTCCACAGGATTGTCCAAAGATGAAATCGAAGAAGCGCTTAGAGTATCAGGAACAGCATCTGATGAGGTAATACCGCTACTTGCAATTTTTTTTTTTTTTTTTTTTGAGTATCATTTTGTTAAAGCATCAGTCAAAGCAAACACTGTAAATTTATGGCGTACAGTGTATGTTGTCTTCTGTCTTTTAGATATCAAGGCCATCAAATTCCCCAGCCCCACCTCAGAGAGGTATTAGGACTCCATCTTCAGGGTGAGTTAACTTACTTACTTCTTTGATGAATTTAATTTGCACAGCACATTCTCATGTCGTATTTTCCAGATTGTTGTTAATATGTGTGCTTCCAAAATGATATTTGAACCATTTATTTTATCAGTCATGCCTCAAGGTTGCCTCTGCCTCCAGTGCCATGGAGAAGTTATGTTGGAGCTGCAATCTTAGGTGGAGGAATTGGATATACACTGGCTCATCTTTTCAAGGTAAATCCACAAATCTAATTTGATATCAGCGCTAACTGTAAATAAGTATCCTTATAAGCAAGCTCATGGAACATCCTAAGTCATCTCTCCCTCGAGAGAAAATGTTGATTATGTCTTGTAATTAATATTCATCAAATATTCATCGTGTTAGAATTTATCTTGTTAGCATTATTAACTCAGGTGCACAATGATGTCTTTTTTTCAGACATTTGTTCTACCCTACTTTTACCACACAAAAAGTAAAGAGGAGGAGAAACTAGAGAAAATAGAAACAACTGTGACTGAACTAAAAGGCAACATGGAAGAGAGAGGTACAATGTACATGTTGTAGTTCAATTTTATCCTTGGTTCAAATTTTATTTTCCTTTGTTCTCGGTCATGTTAATGTCTGATAACAAACATTAACATGTAATGTATGATAACAAACATTAACATGTTAATGTTTGAAACAAAGGGAAATAAAATTTGAACCAAGGATAAAATTGAACTACAACATACATATTGATAAGCTGGAACACTGAACCTTCACAATCAGAAAGTGCAAATTAGAGGTTACATCTATTGGTTCACTACTTACTATCGAAAATTATTTTGGTTTACCTCATTTCCATTGGTTTACCTCATTTCCATTGGTTTAATTCACAATTTTATCATTAGATGACATGAAGTTGCAGCAGGTTCACTGACACAAATATATTCAATAGCATTTTACAAACTATCTTGTACCTTAAAATTCAAACTAGACAAAAGCAGAAAACAAGTTTAGTTAACTTTTGTTTCTAATTTTGTTGTTTTTGTTTTTGTTTTGTTTTTTTTCATTCAAGTACAAAAAAGCTTAGAATCTGTAGAGGTGAGTTCTGCTAAAATAAATGTGAAGCATTTTAAATTTGGTAACGTGTTCTCTCACATATTTAGAATAGTATCTAACTCAGTAGAACTTTTTGGTAAATGGTAAGTGGCTGTTAATTGTTTTGTGGCCAGTGTCTTACCGTCAATCAAATGTGCATTCATGGGAGCCATTATGGTTTCCCTTACCACCAATCTCATCTTCTTCACACAGAGTTTATAACTTTTTTCGTATGTGTTCTTTTTTTTAGGGTCTTCTTGAGCAACAGCAGACCAAACTTCAAAGCCTAGCTCTTGACCTTGCTTCCACACAGGTAATTAATTTAAAAAAACCTTGAAAAAAATTACCATATCTCACAGAGCATTGGCACAAGGCGAGAGTGATAAAGAACCTGGTGCAGCCCTCCCCTCTCCAAAGTTTTCTTGCCTGTACTTCAGCAGTTAGTCTGTGGGTCTGCAGTAATAGGATGTGTCCAATCCTAAGGGTTTCATATTCTGCAGATGAGTGGGAAGGAGGGAATGTTTTATAATGTCTATTCCCTGGGATTTAGCCTCACATGTGGCTGGTAGCTGCCATTACAATGACTATAAGTTGAGCAACCTTGTGCCCAAAAAGTAGCACAGTAATGGCTGGTATGCAATTAACCCTTTACACCCTAAGGGCAGTTTCCATATTCTCTATACTGTTCTCCATACATTTCCTAAGGAGCAGACAAGGAGAAATTGCATAACAATCAGAGCTTCTGTGGTTGTTGTTCATTTGCATTATTCTCATCACCTTACTGTGTTATTTAGGGAGGACAGTGTAAGGAGAAGTAAGATAATTATTAGTAACTTTTAGGGGTGAAAGGGTTCATTCATAATTTTGAATTAACACAAGGGTGAGCGGTACAAAAACAAAAAAAAGAAGAGAATAAAAAGAAAACTTACAGTCCATAAAGAAAAATTCATGTATCAATTGTTATTTTTTCCCCAGGAGAAAATAAAAAGGACGGGAAAAAAATTTTTCTTACAAAAAATGCCAACAAAAACGCCATTTGATTTTGTTATTCTCCACACTTTGATACTTTTGTAATGATTCATACCTTACATCTAGAGTGCAAAGCACTCAAACCATTTGATCTCTGTTTTTTTTTTTTTTTTTTTTACAGTCCAAGGTGGCTTTGTTACCATCTGAAAGTTACACTGTTGGTGATTTGAAAGGAGAGATTCTCTCACTGAAAGGTCTTCTTCTGAACAGGTGAGCAGAACATAAAAAAGGAAGAATAATTATTAGTAACAAGTTTGTTATCCATTCGTTGCACCCTAACATCAGTTTGCATATTCCCCCTACTGTTCTCTATACATTTCCATTGGTACTGACAAGAATTTGTTTAACAGTCAAAGCTTTTTGAGTTGGTGGTTATTTCCTTTATTCTCATGATCTCACTGAATGATTCCTCAGTCTTTCTGTAACAAGAAATTAAAGTTTTAAGGGTTAATTGGGTCAAACATGCAGATAGGATCAAGGCATTATTCCCTAACAAATGCTTTCAACTGAACATTAAATCTTGTTTTGTGAAGGAAACAATTTCCATCTCCTTTGGTGGGCTCCACTCCAGGTGCCCCAAGCATTCCAGCATGGCAACGGGCCGTTACTTCAACAGAACGAACAAGGACAACATCTTCCCTTGCTGACTCCTCTGAAATGCCTGTTACAACTGAGTCATCAGACAGCAAAGAGCTATCCAAAGTTTCTTCTTTTGAGCATAGTGCTATGAATGGTAGGTCTGACTTGTTTACACATTAAGTCTTTGTTTATTCATTTGTTCACTAGACTAGGAAAATTTTGTGGTGAGTGGAGGTCATTATGGTGTGTTATTGAGCTAGACAATTTTCTCCTACAGTACATATCTCCACCCAAGAGTGTGATTATTTGGTTGCAGAAAATTTTGAGGGAAATCTGAAATGCATTGAAGAAACCTTTATTTGCACACTCCCAGCTGTTTCACAGGATACATACTGTGTATGCTTCCTTGGATAGGCAAAACAGTTTTCTTTTTTGCAGGCAGTACCTTCACCTTTCACCATAAGGTGTATCCCTTAACCCTAATTGGAAGATTTAGAGAGAATTAGAGATTTAAGTGCACTACTTTTTATTTGCTTCAGGTGAGTTATCCAAACATTTTGACAATGTTGAAAAAGAGGCTAGTACAGAAATGCAAGATATTGTGACTTTAGAAAACAGCCCTGCAAACCAAAGTGGTACATCTAGCAGTGGAACAGAATCTACTGCCACACCCAAGACTGTAGTTGCAGTAGATGAGAAAAGTCTCAATGATGCCATGCTTAATGACACAAGTGTTATTAGTTCAGATGGAAGCCTTTCCTCAATGTCAGATTTATCAGGGAATACTTCTTTCCATGATACGTCTATTGCATTTTCCTCCACTTGTATCAAGGCTCCCTCTGATATAGGTTTGCGTTCAGATTCAACTGGGGAATCTGAGGAAGGTGTCAGTGATTCAATTGGTGTTGTGACTGTGCAATAGGGATTCAGTGTTGAAGTGACAGCTTCACCTTGCAGAGGAAGCAGCAGATAAGGGGTTCTAACAAACTGATAGTGGAACCTACAAGAAACCTAATCAAAGTAAAAGTCAAGGCGGATGATATTTGACCTTTTCGTGGAAAGGATCTCCATCAACATCTAGAGGGAATTTTTGGTATGATTCAACCGTAAACAAGCTGATCTGAAATTTTTGGACACCAAGTTTAGGTCTCACCCTGAATATCAGTTTGGAAACTATATTGTGGATCCACAGCTTTTATTAAGCCATTAGATCCAAACAAACAAACAAAAAACTCAGAATGAGCTGGTTGGAGAGTGTTTTAGTTGTGTTTTAGTTATATATATTCACATGAAAATGCACAGATGCCAGCCACAACTACTCAGTGTGGTGCTTGCCTGACTGTAGAATTGGGCGGGTTACAGATCAATGTCCGTGGACAGGATTGTAGCCAAGAACTTGAAACATCACTGGAAAGACCTACAGACCCTTAAATTTAGGGTTTAGGACAGGTGCTGAAAGACTCTGTTCCTTTCTCAGAATCTTATCATTAAACATTTCTTGAAAAAAACTTCTCTTTAAATAAAATATCCATTAGGTCCTTTTCAATTGTGAAAACAATCCTCAAACTACACAAACTCTGTGAGGGAGTACCCCATTTTATTTACAACATAGTTATTGTTGCTGTTACTACATGATAGGATTCCCAATATGAGAACTCAATTAATGTTCATTTTGTCGATAATGTTCACTTAATAAAAGATAATTATTCTATATACAAGGCTAAAAGATTAGGAAAAAAATTATTAAAATGTTTAAACCAAACGTTTTCGGCTGTTTGGCATCATCAGGGTTGAAAATAATGACCGTCTGTACATACAGACGGTCATTATGGGAATCACATGAGACATATATGTATGTACAGACAGTCATTATTTTCAACCCTGATGATATCACATGAGATATATATGTATGTACAGACAGTCATTATTTTCAACCCTGATGATATCACATGAGATATGTATGTACAGTCATTATTTTCAACCCTGATGATATCACATGAGACATATATGTATGTACAGACGGTCATTATTTTCAACCCTGATGATGGCAAACAGCCGAAAACGTTTGGTTTAAACATTTTAATAATTTTTTTCCTAATCTTTTAGCCTTGTCTATAGAATATATAATGTTCATTTTGATGGATAAAATGTGCATAATTTTCCAGGGTGAAATTTTCATATAAAACTCAAGTTGTACTAAAAAATAAGCATTAATTCAATAAAAATTAAGTCTCACTGTCAATCAACTCTAAATTAATTTGTATCACAGTATTGGAACAGTGTTAGATAAGAAGTTTCACTCCAAGAAAATTCATGAAAGCCTTAACAAGTACACTACAGCACTTAAAAACTTGAAAGTAACACCATAACAATTTGCAACAGATGTTCATGAGACATACATGTTGATAATTTATGTAATTAATCTTGGGACATACTCTATCTTAACTTGGAAAATGGTTGTACTTGAGCTGATTTTAAAGCCACAAACATTTGTCCCTTGATTTTTTTGTATTAAGTTTATGATAAGTTCATATCAATGTCAAATAATTTTCCATGTCACAAAGTAAACTTTTTTCTGCTTGAAGAATTTGGCCTAAGCAAAGCATTTGCAGAGACTTTCTATGGACAATGTAAATCTTCTGTTTTCTTGCAATATTTTTTAGTTGATCTAAAAGTGCAGATACAAAATCCCTAGTTGGGTGAATTTTGTACAAAAAAATCTTATCTATACCTTGGACAGTTTACCTAGTTTTACTAACTAAAAGGGGCTTGACAGTCTTGCTAAATATACCACACCATCTACCACATAAGGCTCAACATCTGTATTGCTTGGGTCAAGACGAGGAATGGGGCCATCCAGCAAACCCTGAAAAGCCTTGAAAAACAAACCATCAAAACAGTGGGTGTGAGATTACTATGTTATTGGTATTTGTGAACTGCAGAATATTATTCAATATGTTCCAGAGTGTTTATCAGTTTGCTATGTTTTCTCTCATTGCACCTCTTGGTCTCACTGAAATTTGGTGCTGGTGTAAAAACTCAATCAGTGATCAGATTGACCACTATTTTTTGTTGTTGTTAACCAATTGGCTGTCCATAATTTTTACATTTACATGCACTCCAATGTGGGAATTTGAATTGTACTGTTCCACTGTACATACCGTACATGCTGATTCTTCTAGTTTATTTCCCCATATGTAAACAGCATGAAGTGAACCATTGCTTCTCATTGCTTTGGCCACAGCACATAATCCTTTACCAGCTATGTTATTGCTACAAATCACCAACCTGTGAAACAAAGGAGTAGAAAGATGTTAAGTACATTTTGCCTTCAAACTTATAATTTTCATGTCTTTTCTATCAAGAATTGTGTAATTTTTTCTTTTTTGGTTGGTCACATGATTTTGAGGTTTCTGAAGTTAGCACTAAAATTTACAGTTCTGGTCTGTTCTCTTTTCCTTTTTTTTATGGTTCCTCCCTTTTAGTTTGGAACTTTTATATTATGTTTGTAAATGAATGGGTTGTAGGTGATTTATTCCACTTGAAGGGGCTGAATGTGCCTTTATGCTCCATGAAAGGACACAAGAACTGGAAATAAGTCTCATGTTCTTCCTAGGTGAGTCTACGTCTGTATACATTCACAATTACACTGATAGATTCATTGACTGATTGCTTGATTGTTTGATCAATGAATTGAGCCACCTTCCCGTACTAGGACGTTGAATTCACTAGCGGGTTTTAAGAGGGTAGTTAGAGGAATGGATGATGGTGGCTGTGTGGGCTGCTTGGTTTGCAGTGCATGATTCTTAGTTATATCTTAGTTAGGCTCAGACTATTCCTCCCCCTCC